AGGTAGATGTGCCGTTAACCGTAATATGAGTGAGTTTAACCACTCCCCAAGTGCCCTGATGCATGCAGATGCTCATGTAGTTGTCCGACCACGTATTCCAATTGGTGCCGTCGAAGACACTCAGAATGGAGTTGTTGAGTTTCTCGATTCCCGACATGGTGGGGAGATACTCGATGATGTCGGCGGTTTGGTAGTGAAGAGAGGGGAATTCGATATAGGGAGGATCACCGAATAGGGATCGAAGCTCAGGAGTCCAATTGTCCTGATGGTGAAATAGATCTTCGTTGTCGTGTTCACCAAGCTCGTATAGGTCTTCCCAATCAGTGTCTTGAAGAGGAGTGTAAGAAGGTCCCTGAGCCCAACGGACAACAGGAAATAGGATAACCCCAACGGGAGGGTCGTTTGTTGATGACAGGGTGATAGAGACTAGAGCGACACAGTCAGCCCTAAGTTCTCTGCAGACCAAGAAACAAAATCCCAAGTGCCAAAAAACTCTGAAACGAGAACGACCAAGCGTCCCCATCCCATCCATGATGCCCATATACGCGCGGGGAATGATAACGAAATAAAGCGGTATAGTAAGTGCCCATATTTGTATCAAAGTAACGTAACTATATACGTCAGCGGCGGCAGTACCCGACGGTGATTACTGCCCTCGCAGTCCGTCACTGGCCAAGGGACATGTGCCCAAGGCCGTCCCAAGCACCGGGTTTGGCCGCCCATCTTCTCCCTTTTAAAGACATGCATACACGCAGAGCGTCATTGCATGAATCCTCATAGTGTCACCAGCCCGCAGGGTCCCTTGTGAGGAATGCGAGTCAACCCCGAAGGATTGTTTTGCCTGGCGGAGGGATCGACCTCCAGCAGCTGTTGAGAGCTACCACACCACCTAGGCGCTTCGCGCAAGGTTCAGGAGTGGGATTGACCAAAGGACCAGTGCCTGGTGGGTATGTCCGCTGTACAATAAAAAGATGTAACGTAAAACGCGCGCGAGCAATCATGGACGGAATAGCTAACGGCGCGTCTGCCAACTGAATGACTCCCTGACGCCGCTTGCGTAACCCCTTGAGGGTGAGAGCACAAATGCAAGGACCGACATCCAGCAAGTGGGACGAGCGCACAAAGACGGCGCTCTAGAAGGGCTGAACGAGTGAAAGATACTCGCCTTAGCAAAGGGAGTAGTTCGATGTTTCTTGATCTGGGCTAGTGGTTCAGGCGGGGCCCATAACCTGTCGCAGACAATACCGCGCAGTGGAGATACGACCAGTAGCGATCACCTATAAGACAGAGTCTCAGCGAGTGTAGAGACACAGGAGCTGTATCATTAGCTGTACCTATAAGACAGAGTCTATGGTACAAGTCATAAGTAAGGTCATTAGATCGTAAGGGAGAATGCATACCTCAGCGAGTGTAGAGACACAGGAGCTGAGGATATGGAGCGTATAGTACTAGGTTTATATACCAGTCTGGAGCAGATATCATGATGTCATAGTGGAGTAATGATATCATAGATGAGTAATGGATGACGCAATAATGAGGTCAGGTATGAGGTCATTGTGGAGCGAGCCAAAGTAATCTAAGAATACTACTTATGATGTCATGTCTACATACTGTGATAGTTGCTAATACAAACAAGCTTCAACAGGGCCGGCGTGTGCCTGGCTATCTGCCTGAGGCACAGTTTCACTGCTCTTGGCAGATTCGGGCGTTTGTTTCGGGCCCGAATTGACCGATCTGTTGGTCTGACTCATGGTGGCTGTGTCGCCATGAAAATTTCCACTGGCGTGGCCGTCCGCTGCGGTGCGTGCCTCAGCGTTGCGGAGCAGGGTGCTATACCTCTCCGCCAAGGTTCGCAGCTGTGGGATACTCATGGATCCCTCCGCCTGAGACCAAGTGTGCGGCACAGACAAGGTGTCTTTGCTATTACTGAGTTGGCTAGGGCTACGCTCACGGTGAGTGCGGGCAGTACTACGTGTGACCTCGGTCCACTGATCTTCGCCAGGGACTTTGACCTGGTGCAGTGCACCGTCGTCGACTACGCCGCCAGGGCGAGAACCAGAGTCCTGGTCGACCTCCAGCTGAGAGATCGAGCCTAGGACTTCCGGGGGGGATGCAAACCCTGCCACAATCTGCCGGTACGACAGATCTGGTGTGACGGGCCGCGACCGGGGCGCACCCAGTTTAACGGACGGTGCACCGGAGGGAGACACCGCCTGCACTTCTGCAGGCTCGCCCACCTCTCCGCCGGCAGTCGATTCTCCAGCGTTGGCTTGCTGGATACGACGAGGGAGGGGCCGGAGGAGAGGAGGGGAGCGAGCAGGCAGGATGGTTTTGGGGGGATTTCTCGACATGCTGGTTGAAGATGGGGTTTTGGTAGATAGATTCGGTGGGGTTGTCGATGCGAGACGGCGAAGTGGTTGATCAGACCACGGAGACCAGAGGCAAGCAGCGACGAGTTACGGAGAGTCAAAAAGATGTAACAGAAGCGACGAATCGAGTTCTGCTACACGTAGAGCGAAGGCTGACTGTTCAATGTAGTAGTATTCACTGAAGAATTATCCACCATGTGACTACCGTATCATCTAATCAGAGTGGCTGTGTAACGATGGGATCAAGGGATAAGTACACAGACACGAAGGAGAAGTGGAAAAATACGTAGTCAGACGGGAAAAAAGAACTGTAGGGTACATACGGAGTCTGACCGTTACAGTGAGGTTGTTGTGTGCTGTGTGCTCTCTTCCTTCGGGCTGACAGGAGTTGCCCTTACACCATGCCCTGGTTGAGCAGAAGCTTCTTGGGTAGCTGATACAGGTGCTTCAGCTGCTTGTCAAACTGTACTATTACGACCATAGCTTCATGTCATTGGTCATCGGTACAGTGCCCATCATCACATCACAACAACTCGATCTGGTTGTCATGTCACATCAGATTCCAGATGTATTTCAGAAAGCAAACTTAACATTACTGAGTGATTGACTGCATAAAAACACTCCTTTGGATGGTCTCTATTCAGCTTGTACAGGGCTAAGAAAAATATTGAGGTTGACACTTTTGAGTTCAGAAAAATGACCAATTATATAACCATCACTCATGTGCAAGGGCATGTGAGCTTCCCAATCGGATCACCTCCTCATCCCGGCAGATATTCTTGGGGACTCGACGGTGGGACGTGTATTTCTTGACTGCATATGATGCTTGCCGCACATTGAGACCAGAACTCTCTATCTTCACAAGACATGCGGGCCTGTTGCTTGGGGATCACAGCTGCGACAGCCTCCAGAGACTTGATGTGTTTTCCCAGCTTGCTTGGGCTGAGATTTGCAAATGACAGAGTTGGAATGGTGAAGCTCTTTGATTGAGAACCACTAGACTCCGACTTGTTTTGGGGGTGGTCTCTGGGATCATTGGGACTGGGATGGAAGGAAGGATCCTTTTTCTCTTCAGCAGCTTTGACGGGATCAATGTCCCTGCATTGTTTTGCATGGAGTTTTGATGCAGCAATGCTTTGGCGGCTCTTAGCCATGATTTCTAAGTGAGCGGACTCAACAGAGATTGAGGGAAAACAATTTGTGATCAATTATGCACAGCATGTCAAACCACTTCCGGCCATGAAAATGACCGATTACATAATCACGTGCCCCATATACAATTTTGGTACCATTTGCATTCTTTTAGCCTACGTTGTCTTCAAAATTTTCTTGCTGAAACTCCAATCCAAACCAGTTCAGCTCTGGACCAGTTGCGGTGATGTGATGACAGGCACTGTAGTCATGAAGCAAAGCTAATTGCCTGTTGTCATTGGTCATTGAGAGCCTTGAAGCTGATGACATTTGGTTTTTTTTTTTAAATCAAAATTTGGCATTTTGCGTGGGATTTTCAAGTCTATTACATCAAAAAATAGCTCTACAGTTGTTCATGGGTTTTGGGATTGAGCAAGATAAGAATATCATCCCAAAGAAAGCTAATTTTGTGTAAAGGACCAGAATCTTGCCAAATACAGCATGGATACAGAGACACATTACTAATGCCATCACTTTCTTACGATTTTATTGCAAATCTCATCACTATTCATCGCAATTGCATGGTGAGGTGGTGCCTGGTAATGATGGGCGCCGGGAACTGGCAACGACACCATGATCAAGCTATTTGGCTGCTGTCATTGGTCATTCCGGTCCGTGAAGCTGTGCTCCGATGAAGCTAAGCTGTCATTGGTCATCCTGGCTGAAGCTATGGTTGTAATAGTACAGTAGTAGGCAGCACTGCCAGGTGCACCAATGGCCTTTGACCGTGCCATGGTGTATAGAAAAGATGTGACAGATTGACCTCACAGCCACAATTTGTTAGTAGGTACTTTGATTATAAACAGGCTGTTTGCCATCAGGCAATTAAAAACATGTTTATAAACATCAATTGTAAACAGCGCCCTATTGCGTAAGTCTTTGAAAATGGTCCTTCTTCTATTCTAGACATTCAAATTCTGCAAACGAAATGGCGGGAACAAGAGTTTCCCGAAAAGGAAACTACGCGTGACGTGTGCGGGGTGGGGTTGACAATTTGGTGATGGGCAACGCCTGCCAATTTTAAACTCCGACATGCTAAGATAAAATGGTACCCCCGTATATCTCTTTCACTTCAACATCTATTGCTTAGCTGAAAAAGAAGAAAATGGTGGCAATAGTATAGTCTAAGATCCTACGCTCGATTTTTTCCTAAATTATATCGGTGTCATTGTGAATCGAGGATCTGGGGTGTCAATATGGTCCATTAACAAGGAACGAGCGAACACATGACAAAAAATCGAGCGTGAAGTCTCAGGAAATTCTATTCGTACCGTAGATGAACAGGTACTTAGAGGATTGAGTGCCGCCATGAAGACAATATACGCAAAATACTGGTTTTGTGACAACGGAAGCCGGACCGCCCGTGACAGATGTGTGACAGTACGCGTTTTCCCACTGCACCTGCCGCTACCTCCCGCCGTTTTCCGCTCAAGTCTCACGATGGGCGCTACAGCCCTCCAGAAACGTTCCAGAAAACTCAATCAGGCCTCAAACCGCGCGAGATCTGATGTCACAGGCCCTGACAGTCCCATCTCCCCACGCCGTCGCGAAGCTCTTCGATGCGCTCATGTGGCCGAGAAACAGCTCGAGGCTCTGAAAGAAGCGCACAAGATGGATCTGAAGACCATATTTGATCTTCGTGTTCGTATTGATACCAAGGACCGCCGTCTACACAACCTATGGCAGGTAGTCAGATGCGGACGCGCATCAAAGACCAAGCTTCGTGTCAAACTCAATTGGACAAAGCATGCTAAGAATGTGCGGAGTTTTCGCATCAAAGAGCAGAGGAAGGATCAGGCTGAGCGTATTCGCCGCGAGGCGTGGGGATATCCCGGGGTCCATCGGATGAAGGGGAAGGGCGGGATTGTCACGGAGAAGAGTCGGGAGTGTGTCCGTGAACTGTTCCGGCTGAATGTGCCTGCTGCCAAAATCAATGATGCTGTCCATGTTGTATTCGAAAGCGGTGATATCACCGTCGCAGACTCTATCAGCCGACGAGAAGTGGTCTGTATTGTCGAGGAAGGAGGGATTGCATCGGATATTCAAGTGGCGAAAGAGATCACTGAAGCGAAAGGTGATTTTAGTCCTTGAGATTCATTCTCGTGTAGTCTGATAAGTGTCTGCAGCTTATACAATCAGCGGGGACGGCACAACAATCAGACATATCAACTACGAAGCAAAACATGCGACGTACTACCCGAAAGGCTCAGACAAGCCTGTGACGCGGATGCTGGACATTACTTGTGCGGTCAATCACACCAGTGAGGCGCAATTCACGGCATGGAGCAACGCCATTCTTCTGGAGCTAGTGGGGACGTATAACACTTCCCCGTTAGGTGTCGAGAGTCCTGTCAATCCCGACAGCTTTGTTGCGTGGCTCAAAGGCCTCGGCACCGATCACGCAGCAGATCAGCAGAAGTTGAAGCAACTTCTGGAGGCATGGATGATCTCAGCACGGCAAGTCGTTGAGGGCAAGGAATATCTGAGCGTCGCGGGGATGGAAGAGACAATGCCAATGATTGTCTGGTTCAATAACAAGAAGATACAGGATGCTGGAGGTAACGAGGGATGGAGTAAGCTCTCTGAGGCGCAGAAGAAAGCTAAGGATACAGAGGTAAGTGTGAACTGCGGAGCGCAGACCATCAATTTATCGAGATTGTCTTGCAGGTATGCCGAAAGCTCTGGGAACATTTCGGAGAGACTCGCTGGGCATCTATGTCTCCGCAAGAGGTCGCAGTCCAGAAGGCTTTTGTTTGGTGTGGGTGCTGTATGCACAAGGAGATGAACTCCGTGAAAGGCGGCTGCCAGGCAATGAAACTGTTCTGGCAAAGCATCGGCGGACCCGAGCCCATCAAGCTGATGAACAAGGCAAATACGGCGGCGGCGGCAAACGGTGGGGAGGGTTCCAAGGCGTCCAATCATGCAAATGATGCGTCAGAGGGTGGAGCTGTTAAGCTAACCAGTCTGATTGGAGCGTTGTTCAACCACAAGGATGACAAGAAGGGGATGCAGGATACCTTTCGACTCTATTTCCAGCAGTGGCTTGGGTACGAAGTTGCCTGTCCCGACACCAGTAACACGCGATTCCAGTCGCACTGTGACTGTGCAATCTTTATTTTGGTGCATCTCCCGCAAATCCTGGCATTCCTGACGCATATCATGTACAATAAGACCACGGTCGGCCTGAATCACCTGGAGAAGAACGTTTTAAAAGGCTTGCAATGCACTTCGACACTCACCGAGCTCGCCGTCCTCTCCCTATATGCAAATAGTGTCAGCTACCCATACATGCGCATTGTTCGAGGATGCAAGCCGGATGGTTCCCGATACAACGCTCTTGATCTTGGTCCGCTGCACGAGAAGGTTATTGCATTCTGCAACAAGTTGATCGCAAATACGGACCTTATTCTCTCCCCCGAGGCCTCCTTTGTTGACGGAGCGTTGGATGGGAAGCCCTGGGAGCACCCAGAGGTGTTTTACGCCATCCAGTTTATGGCCAAGGATCTTCCCAACCTCCATTCATGCCTGGTAGCCTTCCTCCGTGGCACGGTTAACACATGGAGGCGCTTCGGAGAGGAATTCAGGCCTGACGGTGTTCTTGCCGGCTTGTCTCCAGAAGCTCGTGCGGGAATCTTCATCAATCCGACAAACGACCACTGTGAGGGTGGATTAGGACGTCTCCACCGCGCTATTCGCGAGGCGGTTAGGCTGTCGCTTAGCACACACAATGCAAAGCAGAAATACGCAACCAATCAGACCAGAGACTTCCTTCGCAGTCCGGCAGTTACTGACGCTTTGCGCAGTTGGCTCAGAGCTGAGGCTCGTCGCCGTATCGACTCTGGATGGGATCGAAGACAGAAGGAGGCCGTGATTATTCACCAGAAGGCGGCTGCTGCTGACAAACAAACAGCCGAGAAAGCGCGGGACCAGAAGAAAGCCGAGAAGCAAGCCAAGTTAGCCAAAGTGGTGCCGATACTGGATTCCGATTGGATTCAGAAGAGCCATAGTTCCATGCGAGTGTCGCAGATTGTCGAACAGATCAACTGGCACCGCCAATTTGTCCGGAAAGGTGACATTCTTTCGAAAACCATCATTAGTGGCATGGGAAAGGACGACAAAGTTTGACAGCTCATCCTCATTGTGGATAGATTCAACAAGGACATCTTCCCCAAGCTCCAGACACTTGTCTCCGCTGCAGTCTCCGCCGGAACAGGGGAATCCGAGTCTGTGGCAGCTATCCCAGATGTGTCGAGCTGGAATGAGGCCGAGGATGAAGATGACGAAGACCTGATTATGGATGAACCTTGATAATCATGATTTTATTGTCCTATTTTATTGCGTATCTATCGTTCTGGGTCTTCACAATGAACAAGAGCAACGAAAGTGGTGAAATCAGTGCGAGAGGATGAATTAGGGGCTATGTTTTCCTAACCAGGAAGGTACCGGTTTTCCCGTCACACGTTTTTGGCAGGCGTTGCCCATCACCATTGACATGGGTGAATTTGGATGAATCTGACTCATGTGACTACTGTGTGACTACACTGATCCGCTCCGCCCCCGTGCTCCTACTCCACCACATCGCACACAGCTGTTGGCGTCGAGAGAAGGGTAGGAATGTATTTGGGACTATTCATATCACAAAGGAATGGATTTACAGGTACAGCAAGCTGGCGCCTGGGAAATAAACTACGCACTGGCACAAAAATATACACGACAGCATCTGGCTGAGATCCCGAGTATCCAGTGTCCCCCGACAAACAAGGCTTGCAGCTGCTGGGTCTCGAGCTGAGCGACGGGGCTTCGAACCCACACAGCCCAACACCACTGGCTGGCTACCTACGCCTTCTCCTGCTCCTCGACATCGACGTAGCGCACGCCCCCGTCCGTCTCAATGACGATCTTCGGCCGTGCCTGCAGCCACGGCGGCTGCTCGCCCGTCAGCACCGGCGACGGGGGCCCGCGCTTCGCTTTCGCCTTCGACGTCTTGGTCTTGGTCGGCTTGGACTTGGGCTTGGGCTCTGCGTTCTTCTTCTCGGCCGTGTGGCCAGGCGGTGCGGCTAGGGCGTCTGCGCCGTCGGCTTCGAGGACCTTCGATTTGCTCGGGATGCAGCCCATGGCACAGAACTGGTCTCTCTTCTCGCACGTGCGGTGGGGGTGTGTGGGATGTGGGATGCGGTGTATCTGCGCGATCGCGGGTGGGCGGAGAGGGAGGGGGAGGGGGAGTGGGTAGGTAGGCAGGTGGGTCGGTCGGTAGGCAGGTACTAGGTAGTCAAGAGAGAAACGCAGGACTGCGTGCCCGGTCAGCCAGCCCGCCAGTAATCAGCAGGGCGTCGAATGGCAGCGCCAATGAGAGAGCGTCCGGTTCCTGCCAACAGTCAATACGCGTCCTCGCAACCGTTCATAGGGCTTCCTCCGAGCTTCCGGGAGGGCAAGGCAGGGGATTGGCCGCGTACGCGATGATGATGTGCTATAAGTATGTTTGGGATACGGCCCCGCTGATGAGCAGATATCTATCTCTGTTTGATCCTCTCGTGCGATCACTGTTTCACCTGCAGCGGCGGCCAATCGCCAGCCTCGAGTGGGTGTGCGACCAATACCAATCAGCTGTTGAGATCATGCGCGGGTGCACACTTGGGTTCGTCGTTGTCGCAGAAGTTGCTCGCGGGGCGGTGATCAAGGTTTTCAATTGGGTCACATGACCGTTCTCCTCCCTGCGTACATTCCAGTCATTTGAACGAAGTGGCTCGAGGACTGGCCACCAATCCTCGATTGCCCGGTGTCAGCATCCGAGAAATACTCTCGTGTAAGGTGAATGCAATATCATCTTGCATCCCAAAGATATATGGTCCGCTCGATCGAGGTGCACCAAATTCTATGTAGGCAAACGAAGCGTTTGTCAACTACGCAGTATCCCCCAATCACAGGCTCGATCTGCATTATATATACATAGCCCACTAGATACGAACCGAAATAACGACGCGTTTAAAACGGCCACCACCACCTCCTTCTCGAGCGACTCCGATGACCCTCCTCCTCCACATTATTCTCCCTGATCACCTTTAGGAACACATTCTCGAGCGTCGCCTTCTCGACCGTGTACTCCGAGAACCCGTCGCCGTGCGCCGCCAGCGCGTGGAACAGCTGCGCGAGGGATAACTGCTCGCGCCCCACAGGCACCTCGAAGCGCGTCGCGACGTCGTCCGCCATCCGCGCGCCGGGGATCGTCGCCATGAGCGCCTGCGCGCGGCCGACCTCGGCCGGCGTGCGGCACGCAAAGTGCACCTGGTACGCGGCGTAGCGCGCGGACAGCGCCGCGGGCGCGCCGACCGCGAGGAGCCGCACGGCAAGGATGCCGACCTTGGACGCGAGCGCGGCGGCCTCCTCCATCGAGTGCGTCGTGATGATCACCGCCTTGCCCACCGCGACGCCGCGCAGCGTCTGCCACATCTCGCGCTTCATCTTCGCGTCGATCCCCGTCGAGAACTCGTCGATCAGCACCACCGACGGGTTGCCCACCAGTGCGATGGCCAGCGACAGCTTGCGCTGGTTCCCGCCTGACAGCTTGCTTGCGAGCCGGTCGGCGTAAATCGCCAGCCCCGTCGCGGACAGCAGCGCCTCAACGCTCGACGACAGATCGCCGCCCCTCAAGCCCTTCAATCGGCCATATATGATCAGGTGCTCCCTGACCGACAGCTGTGCATCAATGGCCGAGAACTGGGGACACACACCCAGCGACACACGCGCCGACTGCGGGTGGCTCACGACCGAGGTACCCTGGATCAGCACATCTCCTGCTTCTGGTATAACATCACCCCCTGCCCGTCGTTAGCCCGAACAAGTCGCTAAATTAAAATAGTCACTCACGAATGACATTGTACGTCGTCGTCTTCCCCGCGCCGTTCGGCCCGAGCATACAGAAGATCGTGTCCCTTGACACCCCAAAGCTCACATCATCCACCACCGTATTTGTTCCGAACCGCTTCGAGACGTTCAGCACGCGCAGCAGGTCGTCCGACTGCGCAGCGGTGCGTGCCTCCTCCGCGACGTCCGGCTTCGTATCGCGGGATTGTGTTTGTGCAAGCGCGCGGTGTTTGCGGGGCAGCAGCGACCCCGAGTCCGCCCAGACGAGAATGGCAAACAGGACGAGGGAGTAGACGATGAGATATGCAATCGGTCCGCCGTAGCGCATGATTGAGCCCATCCAGGACGAGGTCAACTTGGTGGACGACCCATCGCACAGCAGAGAGAACAGGTTGACCGAGACCAAGGCTGCGCGAGTCTGTCATGACATGGGGTCAGAAGAAACCTACCCAAGCGAGGTATGCAGTCTCACCACACTGGCCACCGGAGACAAGATCGACAGCGTAAAGTTGATGATCGTGATCTCGCCATTGGCATCCGACGTCTTTGCATATCTAGAAATATCTCAGCCTCTCCATCCCACGGCAACGAAGGGCAGGCTCACGTGAGGACCAGGAGATAGCCGGCGATGTAGAGCAGGAACATGACGATCTGATACCCCGCCACCGTCGCAAACGCAGCCAGCGGAGAGGCGACCAGCAGCGACACGCAGTACGCAAACAACGTCCCGGCCACTCCGTACAACACCATGACAAGCCACTGCGGGTCAGGGACCAGTCAGCAAAGGCTCGCTGTGGATCGCACAGAGAGACTAACCAGGAAGCCCAGGCCGTGGAACTGGGTCGACGCCGCCGCGAAGATGATGATCACGATCGTGGACATGAGGATCGTGAAGATCGAGTCGAACAGGAGGTGCCCGAGCCACAGACCGACTGGGTTGTGCAGTCCGTTGCTGAACTGCATGGCCTGCACCGACGAGCGCCGCTCCTTCGACACATACAGCGCGAAGAACGCAGGGAACACGGACTGGGATCGAATGAGACTCAAGCGGAGGAAACAGGATACGGATCGGCTCACCATCACTGCACCGTAGAACGCAATCCATTTGAGCGCAAACAGCGTCCCCGCTGAATAACACTGAGCAAGCAAACAAACACACGAAAGTGTGCAAACTCACCATTGACCGGAGGGAAGGACTCGTACGTGGGCAGGATCAACGCCGGGAATCCGCGGGACAGCCCAGACACATTCAGCGCGTGGTTGAACAGCACATTGCTCGCCAACGAGAGCATGCTCGGGCCCATCAGTCCCGGCGGACTGGCCTCCCACGCCACAACGCTCTGACCCGTCGCAAAGTCAAACGACACGCCGCCCGCCGTGAGGTTGCGGTACTCCCGCTGGATGGTGCTGACAAACGTCGCGTTGTCCGCGAGATCGCGCGTCGTGATCGGCTGCAGGACGCTGCTGTTGCCCAGGTCCGCGGCGGTGAAGTTGACCGCAGCCGTTATGTTGCTGAGCGTCGCGGCACTCAGGCTCGTGAGGTTGCCCAGGACGGCCGTGGCGCCGGGCGGCGAGACGAGCACCGTCGAGTTGATACCCTGGTAGAACGCGAGCAGCGGCGAGGTGGCCGGGAACAGGAGGTCGTTCGTCCCGGGCAGATCGACCGTCTTTGCGCAGGAGTTCGACCGCCCGGAGATGAAGACCAGGGGGATTGCTGACCCTGCGATGGCGATCACCACAGCGAGGAAGGGCGTCAGCCAGCTGCGACGGAAGATGATCCAGCGTTTGTAGAAGATGGTCAGGGCCTGCTCCCACGGCGAAGAGACTCGAGCCGCCGCCGAGAGCTCGAGCTTGCGCTCGTCCAGCGGCCGCGGCTCATCGACGGAGTCGGCGCTGGGAGTCAAACTCTTCTCCATGTCGGCTGGGACATGCTGTGTCTGCTGATCTTTCTGCATCAGGTCCAGGAAGATATCCTCGATGGAAGTCCCCAGCACGTCATACGAGGTGACGCCGTAGTTGCCGCCCTCCGAGTCCACCAGTTGCAGCACCCGATCGACGACCTGGCTGTCCTTGGCTCTGAGATGATAAAGTGGCTGGTGGATAGATGCGAGAGACATGTGAGCCTGCGGCGCGACAGTCCGGATCCGATGCAGCAGCTCGGTAGATGCGTCGTTGTCCGCCGCTAGCGAAACCTGGACGCTGTAGCCTTGCCCTAGATCGCGCTTGAGAGCGACAGGAGACCCAGCCGCGACCAATTTACCAGGCGCAGCAAGAATGGCAATGTTGTCGGCCAGCAAGTCCGCTTCGTCGAGGAAATGAGTCGTGAAGACGATGGTGCGTTCTTGTCGAACTGATATGAGAGTCCGCCAAAGGGCTCGCCGTGATAATGGATCGACACCGGATGTGCACTGACAGACAGCATGAGCGACATTTGAAAGATCGTGTATCTCAGATACTCACTTCGTCGACAAGAACCACTGCGCAGATGTGAGCACAGAACGATGAAACTTCATGCAATGCGCCACGCACCTTCAGATCCTGCAACCAAACCAATAGCAAGCTGCAGCTTCCGTTTCTGTCCCCCCGACAGCGTCCTTGCCTGCGCATGGATCTTGTGCTCCAAGTCACAATCCCTCAGCAGCTGCTCCAGATCCTCGTCCGCCGACGCGGCCTTCGACCATTTGACGGCCCGCCACACCCTGAGCGTCTGCAGGCACGTCAACTCGGGGATGAGCACGTTCTTCTGCGGCACAATGCTGAGCTTCCCGCGCGGCGGCCGGTCCAAGCCCCCCTCGTAAACGACCTGTCCGCTCGTGCGACCCGTGAGCCCGCCGATGACCGACAGAGACGTCGACTTTCCAGCGCTGCACAGAGTCGTGAGCGATCGGAAACAAAATGCGGTCAGGCAACGCACCCATTAGAGCCCAGCAGGACGAAGATCCCGTGCTTCGGAACATCGAACGAGAGATCCTCGACTGCCTTGACGTTGCCGCCTTTGCGCTTGAACATGGACGTCTTGAATGTCTTGCCCAAGTTCTGAACGGAAATCGCGACACCGTCCGCGATGGTTAGAGTCTGACGTTTCCTGCGACCCCAGCAACGCCAGCTGGAAGAGGGGTCGCGGGCGTCATAGAGTCGTCGCTCGAGTAGGATGGCGAGGTAAGGCCACAGGAAGACATCGATCTATCACCCAAATCCGTCAAAAGGTAGCAGTGGCCTTTACCGTGAAAACGTACGAGACCGGCGATCAGGATGGGGAGCAAGACAAGGTTATGGTCAGGATCTCCTTTGAGAGCATTTGTAGGGAGACTGAGATTCTCGAACCCGCTGATGGCGCGATTGGCAAAGATGTAGAAACCAGGCGGAAAGATGATTGTGAAGATGAATGCGCCGCCAGTGCTGACTGCGCACCGTGTGTCAGCTGGGAGTCACTGATAAACAAACGACAGACCTTGCTTGAGCACGAGCGCCAGAATCGCAAAGAGGATCGACAAGAACGTCGAGCACACCGCAGCCAACTGGGGACTCTTGCCGAACGGCGCTGCGAGGAAGAACGACCAGCTCGCGAGCGTCAAGCCAAGAAGCAGGTGCACCACGAGGATCAGCAGGACATTCGTCACGACCCAGATCTGCGCGCGCCACACCAGGGCGACGATGATCCAAGCGGGGAGGTAGACGAGGCTGACGCTCAGATGCCACGCCGTGACCCGCGCCGAATCGAGCAGCCCCATCGCTTTCATGTGCGCCGTCACCTGGTTTGCCCGCTCCCCGGCGACGGCCCCAGGCAGTTGATAAGATATGCCAATAAAGCATATAAAGCTGTAGAGAGATGCGGTTGTTGAGTATATCGCGCAGGATGCAAAGACGGCTGGTACACACAACGCAATGACAAGCAGCTCCCGGATCCCGCGAATGAAGCTCAGCCGCGTCCTCTTGTCCTGCTCCTCGTTCGTCTCATTATTGAACGGCCATTCCAGTGGCGCCGGCACTGTCACGCCGGTCCGCAGCTCGATGATAGCCTGCCAGGCGTGAGACGTGATGCACCCACCCCCCGACAACAGCGGAGACAAGAGGCAGCTGCTGCGCGCACCTGATCGACCGCCCACTGCAGCGGCAACACCCGCGTCTCGAAGTCGCTCGAATGGCGCTGGACATCGATGTGGAACAGCCCGGAGTCGGAGAAGATCGTGTAGTTCACGGGTCGCGTCGCGTCCGCAGGGATGTCGTTGAACACAACCGCGGCATAGCACTCCGAGAAGCCGTTGAAGTTCTGCGGACAAGAAAACGGGAGCTCGGCGGCGGAGGATGCTTGCTTCACCGCGCGGCGCTGGCTGTCGGTGAACCCTGACGTGATGTGGCTCATGATATCGTTGGGAGATGGCTGCGCCGTTCCGTCCGTTGCATCAGCCCACACCAGAGTCCCTGCATTCACGAATCGAGATTCCAGCGTGTAGACGGGAGTGAGTGTGCCGAGCCCATACTGGATCCATCGTGAACAGGACGACGCAGGGTGTGAGCATCCGGACTCACGTTATTAGGCTTGAGAAGAAACTGTTTTGCAACGGCCAGGAAGATTCCGTACGCGACCGGGAAGAGGAAACAGCGCAGAAGGTTCAGCTGTAACAATTTGAGAGTGAGATGTGGGAGCACGTGGAGAGCAAGGACGCACGAATGGGTGTTTCCAGAGCACGATCCAGTTCTTCCAGATGAGCGCCAACAACTGCCTCCAGAAGAGATGCATGCCAGACGGGGGGCTGGAAACAAGAGGATATCCATGAGTGCGACCAAAAATGACGCTGATCCGGCAGATGATGGGCGGCAAGCCTCGTCAGCAACCGCGGAGAATCGCGTAGGCTCGAGATCAGATTAGATAAGTTGACATGCGCGGCCTCGCACGGGCCAGATGCCGTCTTCCCTGTCAGGACCCTATGCTTATCGCCATGTTAATGCGCTAGAAATCGGACTTTGTCGGACATCGTCTCGTCGAGTGTATGCCTGAACGCCTTTGACACTGATTTCCCTTCCAGGTGATAACTCCATTCAAGTACTTCGAAACTAGATACAGCACCAACGTAGATCTTCTATTCGTACTTCTTCAGGAATGCAAGGTGGAATTGCTCCAATTTGCCCACGTACTCCTCCACACCAGGACACAGGCACGTCAGGCGGTAATGCCACTCGCCCTCTTTTTGGCCGAAGCCGCTCCCTGGAACGACACAGATGCCCGTCGCATCCAGCAAGGCCAATGCATAGAAAGCATCAGGCTCCTTGCCAGCCGCCTTGGCCGCTTCGACGGCCTTGGGCGGGATGTCAATTTTGGGGAAGAGATAAAGCGCTCCGGGACTCTCCACGCAGGACGCGCCGGGGAGCGCATTGAGTCGCTGAGCCATGATCCGCGTGCGCTCAGCCAACGCCGCATGGATGGTGTCCGTCTCCTTCTTCCACAGGGCGTAACTGGGCTCGCCCTCCTTTGGCGGGCGCACCATGCTGTCGACGCCGATCTGCCCAGACAGCGGCGGGCAGAGGCCGACGGACACGAGTTTGTAGACCAGCGCATGGACCTCGGGAGCGATGTTCGTGAGCTCGAAGTACCCGCCGCGGCGACCGCACTCGCCGGACACGCCCTTGGAGATGGAGTGGAACGAAACAAGGGGGACGGGAGACTGCAGCTCCCGCACGATCTTTTTGAAGGATGTGAACGGGTACTCGGCCGCGCGGTGCAGGTTGTTCTGGTACACCTCATCCGCAAGCAGCACGAGCGAGTGTTCTTCGCAAAGCTTCACCAATGCCTTCATCGTGTCGGCAGTCAGCAAAGCCCCGGTGGGGTTCCCCGGGTTGATGATCACGAGGGCCTTGGGAGTCGTCCCTTGGCTTCGAGCCTCGGCTAATGCGGTCTCGATCGATTCCACAGAAGTAGACCAGTCTGATGACTCGTCAAGAAGGTAAGGGATCGGTCGACCATGGTGCTGGGCCAGGGCAGCAGTATATAACGGATACTGGGGGATAGGGATGAGGATACCAGATTCGGGGGATGTGATGAGCATGTTAATGAGCAGCGAGACGCCGACGGAGGCACCTGCAGTGAGGAAGATGTCGTTCGCAACAGCAGGGTATCCATCACGAGCTGAAGAGTGGATGAGAACATGCATCGATCGCTCGATGGACGGTGCGCACCAGCGATGAATTCCGCGACGCCCTTGCGGATGAAGGGCACACCTTGACTGTGCGAGTAGGCCCCGATGGATCCGATCTCCTCAGCCAGCTCCTTCGCACGCGCGACGACATCCGAAGGGAACACACCGGGCGCCAGCTCCGCCAACGCCGGCCACTCCGTCAATGCAGCAACCTGACATGTCTACTCGGCGTCCTCACTCGATCGGTGTGGGGACGATGCTTACCTGGCGGGTGAACGTGATGGGAGGCTGGTCAAGCCCCTTCTGTTGCGGGTTGCCGATGTTGGACGAGATCACCTTATCGAAGGGCAGGCTGCTGTCCCTCTGGCGCAGCTTGTCGCGGTACTCCTCCGCCTTGATGGCAAGTTCACCGCGCACGGCATACTGCACGGTCTGGAGCTGCGCATTCAGTGCGTCGAGTGTAAGAGGCTTCATGCTGCCGGGGAGTCGTGATGAGAGATTCGTTGGGAGGCGACTAGATGGTCGTAAGAGGGAAGATTTGAGTCGGAGGGCCATCTATTCCGTTTTGGGGACCTGGGGAACGTGGCAGTGACAAGATCTTCTCTTTGCGCTTTATACCAATGTTTTGAGAGATATACGCGATGGGCCCTGGAATGAACGCCAAGTAAGCTCAAGTAATGGTCCTGGTAAAGTCTGGGAAGGAGTGTAGCGAGCGTGTAACGCGGCGCTGGCAGTGGCCAAGGAAAACGGTCAGGTGACACTATGATACGCGGGATGCGATGACTCGATTTAGACTGCCAGGAGCGCGTCGGCGTTTCTTGGTTGTTTCGAGTCAAATTTTCGTAAGTCTCTAGGTAAGATCCGATGAACAGCTCTAAGTCCTATCGAATGCGTTTTAAAGGGTCCCGGTCCTTCATATCACAAGGGAGAGCTTCCAGGCTGCCCAGTAATTTGGCGCGCAAAGGATTGTCCACACAAAGTCAGCTCAAGTCCTGGGACATCTAAAAAATTCCGTCTTTCATTAGTTGAAACTATATAGAGTCTCCGTCCCGTGTATTGTAATCCTGAAAGAAAAGGCTTTGCTGGAAATATAGCGAAACATAACTTACTAAGAACGTGTTTCGAAGGTAATCAGGTAGAACGACAAAAATGGTCATCGAGGTCGAAGTTAGCGAGGCAGGAGCTGAAGGCCGCTATATCAAGTCGGTATTTTCCTACCTTAATTTTGTCGATCTCCAGTCTACACCTCCATATGATAAGGCTGATCTTGCGAGCTGAAACCAACACTTACAGTCGTAATTTTCACCCCTTGAATGTTTTCATTGACGATGAGGCGAGATTTCGGAAACCTTTCGCAAAGATCTTCAGTTCTACTTTGACCCTCGTATACATTGCATTTGATCTCAAGCTTCGGCGACCCATCCAGCCAGCAGTCCGTCAATCTGCTCGTGCCTCCTCACAGCGTCCTCCCACGTCGGATACTCGCCTCCCGTCGCAAACCGTTCATACAACAACCCGATGTTCTTCGCTGCGCCAGGCGTATCCGGATCCTCAGGCCAACTCTCCGCGTTCCAACCAACCCGCTCGACCCTGCCCGTCTCAAAGTCGTGCAAATCGACCGTGATGCCCGCGGGACCCATGTGCAGCCACGACGTCGCCTCGTTCGTCACCCGGATCTCGCCCCGCTCACCCGTGATCGTCCAGACGAGGTTGGGCTCTCCTGGGAACTGAGTGTCGCGGCGGAAATGGAACAAGAAAGACGCATCGTGGACGACGGACGGCGATTCGGTCAGACGGGCTGTGAGTATCATCAGATCCGGGACGTCTGATTTCGAGGTACCAGTGATCGCGCCGGTCGATACATCGCGTAGGCGGTTCACTGGCCGCTGGAGCTGGAGGTGGGAGGTGACATCGACGGCTTCTCCAAGAACGGTTTGGAACAGGTCGAATCCTGAAATATGCATCGTTCAACGGTTGTCGGGACGCAAGAAGAAACGGACGTACCATGCCCGGCAGCAGTAATAGTGAGCATATTCCCGCCGATCGACCTGTGCAGGAAATACTCGAGCGAGCTGGGCAAGACATCGCGCTCAGGCAGTGGGCCTGACAGGCGCACGGCGGAGCCGAGGATCTTTCCAATCCGACCGTCCTCAATCACCCGCTTCAGCTCGCGCGTCAGTGGACCGACGCGACCTTGCAGCCCAATCATTGTCCGCCCTCCAGCGTGTTTTGCCGCATCGGCCAGTTCTCTCGCAAGTCCCGCATTCTCTGCCAACGGCCACTCAACGAACACGTCCTTTCCAGCCTTGACAGACGGGAACACGGTCTCAAAATGCTTGTCCACGCGCGTGCAGCAGACGACGAGCTGAATGACCGGGTCGGCGGCGACTTCCTCGGGCGAAGCGTAGGCACGTGTCTCAGCGGGCAGATTGAAGTTCTTGATCGCGGCGAGGGTGGATTCTTTGGACGAGTTGAGCAGTCCGATGATGGTGTAGCGGGATCGTCCGTGGGCGGAAAGGAGGTATGGGATGTGTGCAGAGGATGCCCAGGATGTGGCCGCGTTGGCAGATAATCCGATGAGTACAGTGCGAATGGGGGACATCTTGTGCGAACTTCAGATGTCGACATCCGAGGATGTGCCAGGTTTATGTACACGGCGGTGCGTCCGCATCCTTGGAAGACGTTTCTGCTTACTGAGTGGTAAACATATCCCTGTGGCGGGATTTGAAATCCATAGTCGTGCTTAGTGAGCAGCAAGATCAAAGTGGAGTGGGACAGGCCTCATTCAGATGGGAAGGAGATGGTGGTCTGGAGTAGAGCTGTTCAGCAGAACCAAAAAATCAATTTGTTTTTTACGAGTTTCCTGGTTGTGGAGTAGACTTTACTTCCCAATTACGTAGGTGTGGAGTGTCGTAGGAATCGCACCGAGGCCGAATTCTGACCGAAAAGGAAACATGCCACCGAAGACGGATCTGATCATTCTGCACGTGTAGGCAGATTGAATGCATCGTTGTCCTCCATATTGGCGAGAAGACCGAGAACAACCGCAAGGGTTCAATTTACAGTGTTAGTGAGGAAAGATGGCATCCTCCGCCATGGAGTTTGAGTTCAGATGAGGACAGAAAATGAAGTGGTGGTTTGGCGGCTCGGCTCATCACATGATCATGGTAACGGAGTTCCCGGCGTTCATCCGGTATTGTTTGCAACTCAGATTTTCCTAAGCTCCACTCATATTTTACAAACTACTAGCTAAAAATCGTGTTTGAAACGACTGCTGAACAGCTCTAGTCTGGACAGGGCAATTTCATCAAAACGGATCTCACTAATTCTTGTCACGCACATTGCTGTCACGCAGTCAGAACAACTCTTGCCGTTTAGGATCTCATCTACGGTCTCTGGGGGATGGAGCTTTGGCGTCATGATTAGTTTCTGTCTCCCAGCAGAGAATGCATCACTTTATATGTATATCACCCCGGTGGTTCGCGCAAATCAGCTTTCGAGATGATGATCCTCTATCGTCTCCCGTTCCTGCACAGGCGTGAGTCATAACGGATAAGGAGTGTATTTAACTCGCCAGCGCTTCTCCTTCTTCCACCGCATTCAAATGGCACCCCATCCCAACCCCCAATTCCATCCCATGGAAATCAACCCTACCACTGGCGAACCGTTTCTGCGTCTGGAGAGCCATCCCAACATCATCATCACCCCAACGCGACCAGAAGATGCCCCACGTGTAGTCGAGCTTCTGTCCGACAAGAGGGTGTACGGCTGGTTGTGCAGTCCTCCGCACCCATATCTTCCCGGTAAGACCGCATAGAGATCGTGATGTTTTTCCTCACTAACCAGCCAATCCGCGCAGAGCACGCCCACGGATGGCTGCAGACAACGAAATCCTCCGCGGACGACATCTTAGCGCAACTTGAAGCAGCCAAAGATGACACGGAGCTCAAAACTGTTGACGGATGCCCCGTGCGCAGCATCCGCGAGGTGAGGGAAGACGGGACGGACGTGTTCCTCGGGGACATAGGCTTCATGTTGTCGTACCAGACATTCGAGCTGGAGCCTCTAGGCCGCACGAAGCAGGACGCTCCGAGGAGAGATCCCGAACGACCTGATGTCTGGAGTTGCGGCGGTAGGTGCCGGACCGCCTGCCTCATTGACCATGCGGCTCAACAACGTCTTCCAGATTATCTTGCGCCAAGTCACCACGGCCTCGGCATCATGTCCGACGCGTTTGGCACGGTATTGCGGAAATGGGGGATCCCGAGGATGGGCGTGAAGCAGATGGTCGTCTCGGCCTCCAAGGGTAATCAAGGGAGCGTCAGGGTGTTTGAAAAGAACGGTTTCAAGCTCAGAGACACCTACCCGGATGCGCTGGTCGTACGAGGCATCCTGACTAGCGTGCACGTTCTGGACTGGACGCTAGAGTGATCGCGAGAAATGTGAGACGAAATAGATGTGTAACCTACCGTGCGCTCAAATTCCAGTTGACTCCGACCCGTGAGCCTGCAGTGCATACCAATGGAACCTTTCTTCCTTTCAACCACGGTGGCTTCGTCCAAGGGGTCTCACTGGACCACCATGACACAATTTGTCCGTTGTCCAATTATTGAGTGATGCATAAATACGCGCGTCGGCCGATAGGATAGCAGCTGAGATGCAGTCTACTCTGCCTTGTGATATTCCAAGGATCGCCGCGTTGGTCGAACATTCTCTCTCTGGCAGGCGGAGACGAGGATGTCAAGAATGCATGCAAAGTCAGTTCCATGTGTCAAAACCATATCGGGTGGTGTTGCGAATCAACCGTCCAGAGATCACATACTAGCCACAGTATAAGATATCTGATCGTTGTAGAGATGACACCTAAACACAATTCTGGCCGTAGCAATTGTCTGGGCTAGTATGGAGACGCACAATTGACCATCTCAGGTGAAGCTTGAGAGCGCCCAGGACCTGAATTGCCCGAGGATTCCAATTAGACAAAGAACATGGCAACGAGAGCAGCTTTATCCCAGAGCTCAGGGTGGACGCGCCGGAACCCGAGGAATGGACCATTCATGTGAGGGTAAATTTTCATCATCCTGGACTTTACCAGGAACTTGGGCCACGCGCTTGGTCGCTCAAGCGAAGGGACGGTGGCATGAGAAATGTGTGCATCATGTGATCGTGTCTACTCTACCTGGTGCCACACGCGAAAAGCCAACCCCAGTCATCTACATTAATGAGTCGTTATTGCCTACGAATATGCAAGCAGCTCGCGTTCGCGTTCGCTCATGCCTTCTTCTTCGCCGGAGAGGTGTGGCCAGGCACGGTATCCTGCCACACCCCGTCCTCGTCCTTTTTGCGTACAGTGAAGCAGGCGATCCCCATGAAGTTCGTGATGTCGTAAATAACCAGCGTGCAGAAGCGCGCATACGCGATGAAGGAGATGGCTAGCGTGAACCACACTGCGTATGCGGTGTTTTTCGGGGACGTTTGCAGCAGCGGGGGGCTGGGGATGGTGAGATATGAGACGCGAGCAAGTGAAGAGATAGAACGAGGACTTGCCGTCCGATGAGTCGAGGCAAATTGGCATCGACGGCCGCAGCAAAGCTCCAGACCCAGATCCAGTCCCACGCGGGAAAGTCCGTCTTGGTCACATGTGCGAGGATCATCTTCCCGACTTGGTGCGCAAATTGGAGTCCCCAGGCGCACAAGAACGGAACAAAGAGCGGAGAGTTGATGATAGCAGAGCGATCCGAGCGGGGATGGGAGAGCCAGAATACTTGGATGCCGGCAGAGATAACGAAAGGAAAGAGACGGAGCAGAGCTCGGAAGGTCGACTGCTTCTTTTCTTTCATCGCCTGGTGTACATTGCCGTAGCTTTCGGAGGAGTGAGAGCATGTAGGGGATCATGCTGAGGTTGCTCACCTCGTCAGAATATTGAAAATCAGACCCACAGCGCCGAAGACCATGAATGCCTCGTTGAGCGGTAGGTTGGGTACCCCTTTGAGCTGCGGCAAGTCTTGGAGACGTAGGACAGTGAGCAGCCCCTGGTCCCAGACGGCGGGGCCTGAAATCACTCAGTTCAATCGAAACGCACCCCGACTTCAAGACGCAAACAACGCACCGAACGTCCCGCTGATAAGAAAGATGGCGACGATCATCAGGATGCCTTCAACAGGTCCAGAGAACACGCCCAGATATAGCTGGCCTGTGCGCGGTCAATTCATCTGGATAGTATAACGTCGGTCGAACGCACCGGTGTGGTACTCTTCCCAGGTTGTGAGATAGAAATTGGCGAGCGTCGCCATCTGCGAAGCGACAGTCCACCAAGAGCGACCCAAGTTGAGAGCTTGACAAGTCAAGATGGCTTCCAACTAGAAGACAGATTTGAGTGAGCAGAGATGGAAGGAGGCCTGCTCACAGTCGTGTTCATGGCGTCACAGCCTGGCGACAGTCAGTCCCGAGGCAATATGTTGGAAGCAAGCATGCGCACCATGGTCGAACATCTCGCCCAAAGGCCCCGCCATCCCCGTCCTCCGAGCCTGCTTTCCATCAATGGCGTCGAAAGTCTGATACAGAAACAGCCCGATGGCACAGCTGCACTCGGTTGCTCAGCATATCGCGAAGTGCGGCAGAAGGAATAATAAGACGCACGAGAAGTACACCCATCGCGGAAGATACACCCCGTCCTTCTCCGTCAGATACAATGGATCAAAATACAGCACGGTCGCAAAATTAATGAATACAAGTGAAAGTCCCGACAGAGTGATCTGAGCGCCCCTCGTTAATCGGTTGTAGAAAGACGGGAAAACGAACTTGCAGTGTTGGGTGCGACGGATAGAGGCCATAGGGTGACGAACCAGGTCCAAAACGGATTCAGGACGTACTGTGACAAAAGCGACCTGAACTCGTTGTGGGCGGGCGACATACGGCTGGGGAGAAGTTTACGCACTTGTCAACACCTTTGTACGCGTACTTCCGCAGGTTTTCGAGGGCATCCTTCGCGATATACCCCATCCCGCGCGTGGTGCAGTGGCAGGCAAACAAGAAAAGGGCCACCGGACCGGATCTGATCGCATTTGTCAGTGCTGCGATTGCTCTCGTCTGGCCTCATCACAGTCCACCGACCGCGGATGTCTGTACCTGCCATCGCACCCATTGACCCATTCGACTTTGACGACGACGACGAGGATGGATGGGAGGACATGCCCGTTATCCGGGAAGACACTGACGCTACGGAATTGGACGAGGAGGATCAGAAGAAATACCACTACATGCCCTCGGCGAAACCATCGAGCTCCGTCAACGCCACCGGAAATCTCATCGACTTTGACGACAGCGGGAACGAATGGAGGTCAAAACTAGACAACAGCAACGAGAGCGAGTACACTAGGGTGCGCGGGCACGACGAGGACGAGAGCGACGAAGTGCACATGCGGACAAAGTACCTGTTCGATGAAGACAAGGCCATGACGCCACTCAGCCAGATGCAAGCGACGAAGAATCTGCTGACGGAGGCGCAGCGGATCGCATATGTCGGATTGTGTGCGCTCATCACTCAAGAGATGTCGCAGAATCTCAAGCGTCCGAATCGCAAGGAGTTCAAGCATGCAGTGCAGGATATGGATTTGTGGGCAATGAAGATTATGGGCCGACTATACTATCACATGGAGCTGGAGACACAAGGTGCGCAGCGCTGCCGTACCTAGCACGATGCTAACCAGACATTAGAGCAGAAGATGATCGAGAGTCTTGCGCAGCACGGCGTGCAGGCCATGGATCTCGTCCCGGCACTCATGACAACGCACACCGTTGCAAATCCGGAATACGATCCGGCCGAAGCACGCCGTCAAGCGTCCGAAGAGAAGGAGGATGTCGTATTCGAAGTTCCGCCCACGCCGGTCACCGCAACCCAGGCCAACTTCCAAACTACACCCAAAGTTCTCGCAGAAACGACAACGTCTTCTGTCCCCGGTGTTTCAACAACGCTCTCCTCAGCGGACGAGAAAGTGACACTGGACATCCGATGGACAGTTCTGTGTGACTTGTTTCTGATTCTCATCGCGGACAGCGTCTACGACGCCCGCTCCCGCGTTCTCCTCGAACAGGCTGCATTGAAGCTGGGACTAGGGTGGATCGATGTGGTGCGGTTTGAAAGTCGTGTGACCGAGGCCCTGGAGATCCAAGAGGATGTGGAGAACATGGAGCAGCAAGATGTGATCGCTGGGAGAGAGAAAGCTTCACGTAAGAAGCGGTATGTGATGCTCGGACTAGCGACATTGGGAGGAGGGCTGGTGATCGGGTTATCGGCGGGTCTACTTGCTCCTGTGATCGGACTTGGCTTGGGAGCTGCGTTGGGTACCGTCGGGATCACTGGTACCACGACGTTTTTGGCTGGTGCTGGGGGTGCAGCCATGATCACAACCGGAGGCGTATTGACCGGGTCTGGTATTGCTGTTCGAGGAATGATGAATCGGACACAACAAGTAAGGACATTCAACATCCTTCCGCTGCATAACAACAAGCGTGTCAACTGCATCCTGACGGTTCCTGGGTCTGTTCATTTCCTGCTACTCCATAAATTGCTGAAATCCGGTACAGGTTCATCACTGGCCCGCTCGATGATGTGCGATTACCCTTCAGCGTGCTTGATCCTGTAGTAGGAGACGTATTCAGTGTGCTCTGGGAGCCAGAAATGATCCAGGAGACGGGAAGTGCGCTCAAAATCCTCACTACCGAAGTCCTAACGCAACTTGGGCAAACGGTGCTCCAAGCAACCGTTATGACCGCTCTCATGAGCGCACTGCAATGGCCTCTGAGTGGGTTACATGATAATAATACATCGACTACTCGAGCTGATCCGTGCCTTCAGTCCTCACCAAACTCGGGTATCTCATCGACAATCCCTGGAACAACGCACTCGATCGTGCCAGGGCAGCCGGCAGCGTGCTCGCGGATGTCCTCATCCAGCGACATCTGGGAGTGCGACCGATCACGTTGGTCGGTTTTTCCCTAGGCGCACGAGTGATATTCTACGCACTCGTCGAACTGGCCAAGCACAAGGCATACGGGGTTGTCCAGGATGTGGTCCTCCTAGGGACGACGGTGTCAGTCTCCACTCACACTTGGTGCGAAACGCGGTCCGTCGTATCTGGCCGATACGTCAATGCGTTTGCCCGCAACGATTGGGTGCTCAACTACCTTTTCCGAGCCACGAGTGGAGGTGTCGGAACTGTGGCTGGTCTACGTCCAGTGGAGAACGTCCCCGGCTTGGAGAATGTGGATGTGACGGATAAGATCGCCGGACACATGAGCTACCGGACGTTCATGCCTTTGATCTTGGACCAGCTGGGTTTCCCGGTGTTCGCAGACTTCTTCGATGATCCAGTGGTGAGTCCTTTTTCTGTCGTCGCAATCGTCGTTTGATTCTGGGGCAGGAACCAGATTTTGAGGGTGATCGGATCGTTGAGCGGGAGGAAGAAAAGAATCAAAAGAAAGGGTGGTTTTCGAGCTCGAAGAAAAACAATCATACTCCAAGGACAGAGTCGATTTCTCGCCCGCCGACTGCCAGTTCCTTTTCTAAACCCAAGACGACGCCAGCAGACGACGC